AGAATCCCTGTGTTTACCCCTTTCCCAAACCTCCTTAACTCTGGGGAGGCTTAGAAACAAAGAGGTGTCCCAGCTTCCTGCCCAGGCCACGGAACTCCTCCCTCCGGCTGCACAGCTCCCACCTCTTCTCCTCCATTTCTGCCTCAGCATCTCCCACCCCATGCTGGCCACTGAGGCCGCCTGCCCAAAAGGAGCTGATAGCAGGTCCTCTCAGCTTCCTCTGCAGCCAGGGGCCACAGCTGGGCTTGACCTGCCTGACTTGACCAAGAACTGAAGTCCCAGGAGAAAGGAAAGCGAGGCCAGGATGGTGACAGGGTGGAGAAGCTGGGCCCCCAGTGAGCTCCCACAGAGGGCAGGACACAGAGGGACAAGTGTGAGGGGCAGTAATTGCCCGTAGGAACAGTGGCCATGGGAGAGACACCATGGTGCCCACACCCCAGTAGGTCCTCAGTAAAACTAACATCCACCTGGGCCGCACAGGTAGCCCTGCCACCATCCAGGGCCCAAGATTCTTTGCGTGAGTTTTAGAGGGCCTCTGAAATCTGGGGAGACATGCCAGCCCACAGCAATTTGCATTTTTTCGCTTTCCTGTTATCAGGGGTGACTAAACTCTGGCCTTCAGGCCAAATCCAGCCAGCAGTCTCCTATGTACAGCTCACTAGCTAAGAATGGGTTTTACATTTTTAAAGTGTTGGATAACAAGAGAAAGTCTGGGGTGAGAGGAGGAGAGATCATATGCCCCACAAAGCCTAAAATATTAACCTGTTGCAGAAAATGGTGCCAGCCCCTGACCCAGATGGATTTAGCAGTGGAAGCCCTGGCCAACATCCACCCATCCACCCAGAACACTGGCCCACATCCACCCATCCCCCACGTATGACATCAGGCACGTTATTTAACCTCTGTAAGGCTCACTTTTCCCTTCTGCAAAGTGGAGACAAAAACAACAGCTGTGTCCCAGGCTGTGAGATTACATTAGGTGTCGTCTATGTCAAGCCTTTAGCTCTGGGCATCCTGGGCTACTGTGTGGGCAGAGCGTGGGGGCTGGTGGCGGCAGTGGTGGCGGTGGAGAGGCGGAGAGGAGGGAAAGGGTCCCTTCCTGACCGACTGCTGTCTCCATATCTCAGAGAAATGGGGAAACTGAATCATGGGGGTGACTCATCTGAGGTCACCAGCTATAAATAGTCCAAAGACTCATGACAGCCGGCAAGCAGGTCCTGGAGCCCTTCCGTCCATAGCCCCTATCTGTGTCTACCTCACCCACACACACACTTCCCTAGACTTCTGTCGTGGGTCCCATTCTCACGGGACTTTGCTCACACCAGCCAATTGATCGAACGCCTCTGTTGTCTTTTTTTGGGGGGGCGCAGAGGGGGATGGAGTTTTACTCTTGTTGCCCAGGCTGTAGTGCAATGGTGCAATCTTGGCTCACTGCAACCTCCGCCTCCCGGGTTCAAGCAATGGTCCTGCCTCAGCCTCCCAAGTAGCTGGAATTACAGGCATGCGCCACTAGGCCCGGCTAATTTTTTGTATTTAGTAGAGATGGGGTTTCACCATGTTGGTCAGGCTGGTCTCAAACTCTTCATCTCAGGTGATCCACCCGCCTCGGCCTCCCAAAGTGCTGGGATTACAGGCGTGAGTCACCGCATCCAGCTGCCTCTGTTGTCTTAGATGCCAACAGCTAAAGTTATTTCATATCCCAGGGGCATTTCATTTAAACAGGTACATTCTAAACCCCGAAATATTCACAGATATTCACCTCTAATTGCGTTTCAGGCACAGTAACAGGACCAAAGCATCCCTTGATTTTCCCAGGTTTCTCCCAACATTGGAACCAACGTCTGGGGTCAGCTCTCCGAATTCTCACAGTCTCAGATGTTTGGCTCACACTCTGGAGCAGACGGACAGAGGCAAGCACATGGCTTAGCTGGGGAGTTCAGTTTAGCTGTGTTGCAGCTTCTCAGGCCTCCAGTCTCCCCCTTGCCAGCCCGCTTGATAGGAGTAGGATCCCTCGAGGGGACATGAGGCCCCTTCAATCCCAGAATAACAAGAGAAAGTCTAGGGGGAGAGGAGGAGGTACTGTGATTCTTGGTACCTATACTTTATGAAATGAAGAAACATCTAAACAGGTTTGCAGAACTTGTGGTCTATTTGATCCTCGTTAGTATAGTGGTGAGCATCAAAAAAAAAAAAAAAAAAAAAAAGAGCTGTGGTCTATTTGAAATAGCTACATGGCAAAGTTAACCCTTTTAACCCCAAAGCATAATGCAATCTAATGATGCTAACCCACAAAAATCGTTTCAGGATGTATCGCAAACATTACTTTATCCTGAACTCTTAGGCAAAGTCATGCAGCCGTGAGATGGATGGGAGTTTCATGTTGAACAGTGCATATCGTTTTCCGTTCTGTCGGGGCGTCTCTGTGTCTGATGCAGCGTTGCTTTTCAGGGAGATGAAGTCCCTTAAAATGAGACCCAGGTCTCATTTTCTCTGCGGTGCTCCGCAGGGATTCCTAGATGGCTGTCCCCTCTCTGCTGAGCCACACTGAGCTGGCTGCTCTCACCAAAATCCTGGAACTGGCTCTTTTCTCACATGGGCACTTCAAAGGCCACCAGCTTCTCCTCCTACTAAGGTACAATTTCTTTTTTCTGTTCCAGGACATTTGTTAGCACTCTGCCCTGTCCTTTCTCCCCTCTTCCTCCCTCTTAGGTGAGTTGCCAGTTTCCTCTTTTTTTTTCTTTTTGAGATGGAGTCTCACTGTCGCCCAGGCTGGAATGCAGTGGTGCAATCTCGGCTCACTGCAACCTTCGCCCCCCGGATTCAAGTGATTCTGCCTCCTCAACCTCCTGAGTAGCTGGGATTTCAGGCATGCACCACCATGCCCAGCTAATTTTTGTATTTTTAGTAGAGATGGGGTTTCACCATGTTGGCCAGGCTGGTCTCGAATGCCTGATCTCAGGTGATCTGCCCACCGCGGCCTCCCAAAGTGCTGGAATTGCAGGCGTGAGCCACTGTGCCCAGCCACCAGTTTCTTCTTTTGGTGTTCAAAAAATGATTGAGAACATCATGGAAAGGGAGCAAAGAAAAGAGTAACTTTACACTAAAGAAACGGGTGACCAAGGTGAACACCAACAGTCATAAGTCACGTTGATAGTGCCCTTGATATCATGTGATGAGAATGGCACTTACCTCTGTGGTCTCCCTCCCCAAAACCCATAACCCCAATCTACTCAAGAGGAAAACATGAGACACATCCCAATCAAAGGACATTCTGCAAAATCCTGACCAGCACCCCTCAAAATAGTCCAGATCACCAAAAACAAGGGAAGTCTGTGAAACTGTCACAGCCAAGAGGAACCTATGGAGACATGATGGCTAAATGTAATAGAGGATCCTGATGGGGTCCTGGGACAGAATGTGACAATAGGTAATAATAATTTTTAAAAAGCTGAATAAATGAAGTGTGCACTTTAGTTAATAATAGTTCATGAACAGTGACATATGTACCACACTGATGTAAGATGTTAATAACAGGAGACATTAGGAATGGTGAGAAGAGATTAAAAAGAAATAGAAAAACAGAGCTGGGCGCAGTGGCTCATGCCTGTAATCCCAGCACTTTTGGAGGCCGATTACCTGAAGTCAGGAGTTCAAGACCAGCCTGGGCCAACATGGTGAAATCCCATCTCTACTAAAAATACGAAAATTAGCTGGGCATGATGGCAGGTGCCTATAATCCCAGCTACTCGGGAGGTTGAGGCGAGAGAATCGCTTGAACCCAAGAGGCGGAGGTTGCAGTGAGCGGAGATCGAGCCATTGCACTCCAGCCTGGGTGACAGAGTGAGACTCCATCTCAAAAAAAAAAAAAAGGAAAACATTTTTTAAAAATTAATAATAATAGGGAACACTGGGCACGGAGTATACAGGAATTCTCTGCACTATAATTCTATAAATCTAAAATTGTTATGAAATAAGAAAGTTATTATTTTAGAAAAGACTCTTGAATGAATGGCTGTGTTCCATCCCTACCCGCCTCCAAAGCACAACGCACCAGGTTTACATAAGAGGGCAGCACAGCGGCGCAGTGAAGAGCACAGACGCCAGCCTCTGGCCCATGAGGTTTGAGTCCTGGCTCTGCCACTTACTGCTGATATAGACCCCTCTAAGCTTCTGTCTCCTTTATATTAATGTGGAGGGGGGTGATAATAATAGCATTTATGTCACAGAACTATCAAGAACGTAATTAAAGCTCCTAGTACAGTGTCCAAATCAGAAAATAGGAGTTAAGAACACGTGTCCCAGAGATAAGAACCTGTGGAAGGAGGACTGGGAGAGCTCTGTTGGCCGGACGCCCTCCGGGTCCCACACATCACACCATGAAGACGGCCGCCTCCTCCTGGGGACGATGGAGTTGAGGAGGAGGAGGAGGAGGAGGAAGGCAGCGTCTGGGAGACCTCCTGTAAGTGCCATGCCTGGGGCCTCCTTGGAATGCTGAGGAAGTACAGGGTGTTGCTGTGATTGCTACGAAGACATCCTGGTCTCTGTGTTCATGACCGGGGCACACTGGTGAGCACAATGCCCGGAAGAGCCACTCACGGCCCAGCAAAACAGACGGCGTGCCTGTCTGCCTCCTCTCGCCGCCCCAGAGAGCTGCTCACCCAACCCTGCTGAGACATCGCGACCTTCGCCAGGAATGCTGGACACACCGCCCCACAAACAGAGTGCAGGGTAACATGGGCCTCCAGTGCCCCCACCAGCTGGGCCACAGCACGGCCATCCAGAGTGGCCAGGCCAGCGCTGCCCTGGGACAATCTGGCTTCCTCGGAGCCCATCCCCTCCGCATGTATGGAGCATTCTCCATGAGCAAGTCCCTGAGGGCCGCCTGCTTTCCTGCAGGTGGATGGAGGTCTGTGATGGGCCTGAACTGGAAGTCATAAAACATGGGTGTGAGTTCTGCCTCCATCTCTAATTAGCTGGATGGCCTTAAGCAAGTCACTCACCTCAAGGCCTTGGCTTCCTCCCCTGTCGCCGGGAGAAATTGTGTCTGTCTGAAGTATCTCACGGCCTGGGAAAATCAAAGTGAATCATGTGGATGCAGGTACTTGGTATGCCCTGAAACTCCGCCCCTGGTTACCCAGAGGAGTTTCTAAGCAGGCCTGCAAGGCAGCCTGCAGCTTGGCCTCTACTCGTGTGATGCAGCAAACACACTTGCAAGGCATTTTGTGCTCTTCAAATGACTGTATATAGAACCCACCGGTACTTATAAGGTGAGGATTAACCCTGTGTGAATGACAAGGAACTGACGCCTGAGGCCCAGAGGGAGGAAGGGATTTGCTCAAAGTCACCCAGCAGGTGAGTGACAAAGCTGGCCCTCGGAGGAGCCTCTTCCTCCAATGTCTTTCAGCCTCACAGAGGGACAGAGTTTGACTGTGGGACTCAGCCTGAGGCAGGAGACAGAATCCCTGAGAGTGCTCCTGGCCAGTGGCTTGATCTCTCGTCTCTCTGTGACTCTGTTTTCCTTAGCTATCTATGGAAAGAATAAGCATGAGAAGCATTCAATTTGATTCAAACTGAAGCACTGCACCTACTTTGTGTGAGACACTTTAGCCACCTCCGGGGTACACACACACAAAAGCCCACCGTCCCTGCCTTGAAGGAGCCTATCATATAATGCCAGTCACTAAAATTTGAAGACCTCTTTACAGTTCACCTTTACTTCTGATACGGTTTGGCTCTGTGGCTCCATTCAAATCTCATCTTGAATTGTAATCCCCACGTGCTGAGGGAGGGACCTGGTGGGAGGTGATTGGATTACGGTGGTGGTTTCCTACGTGTTGTTCTTGTGACAGTGAAGGAGTTCTCACAAGATCTGATGGTTTAAAGTGTTTTGCAATTCCCCCCTTGCACTCTCTTTCCTGCCTCCTTGTGAAGAAGGTGCTTGCTTTCCCTTCACCTTCCACCGTGGTTGTAAGTTTCCTGAGGGTCTCCCCAACCATGCAGAGCTGTGACTCATTTAAACCCGTTTTCTTCATAAATTACCCAGTCTCAGGTGTGTCTTTATAGCAGTGAGAACAGAGTAATACACCTTCTTTCACTTTTTCTTCAAAATGATGGGCAGTGTTATTGATGCTGTTTCAACATGAGGACCCCCATGGAAGGAGCTAGCCTACGTGGGAGAAATGATATTCTGCTGGCATCCCACTATGCTTTCTACCTGAGGCATCATCCCTAAAACACTAGGACATCAGGAAAACCTAATGATGACTACTGTTTCATTTAGGGCCCTCTCAGCTGCAAGTACAAAAAAATAGAAACCAAATATTAGGTTTTTAGTTGAGAAGCCCAGCATCGGGCAGGACCACCATCTGCACATCCTGTCTGGGGTTCATACACGACAAAGATCTGATTTCTCTCCCGTTCTCCATTCAGCTTTCATGGTCTCCTGGAGCTGGTATCTTCTCAGCCCACAGGTGATGACAGAATGGAGATAGTGGTTCCGGTTTCAATGCTTCCGGGTTCAAGTCCATGGGGAAGAGCCCTGACTCCCTCTCAGAAGGCTCAGCTCTAGTCTTCTGGGTTCCAGTAGAAGTCCAAGCCCCTCCAGGAACCCCTCACTGTTTTTTTTTTATTTTTTTATTTTTTTTTTTTTGAGACGGAGTCTCGCTCTGTCGCCCAGGCTGGAGTGCAGTGGCGCAATCTCGGCTCACTGCAAGCTCCGCCTCCCGGGTTCACGCCATTCTCCTGCCTCAGCCTCCCGAGTAGCTGGGACTACAGGTGCCCGCCACTGTGCCCGGCTAATTTTTTTTTCTATTTTTTAGTAGAGACGGGGTTTCACCATGGTCTCGATCTCCTGACCTTGTGATCCTCCCGCCTCGGCCTCCCAAAGTGCTGGGATTACAGGCGTGAGCCACCGCGCCCGGCCCCCTCACTGTTATCCTGAAGGCAGAATATGGCTTTGGCCTATTGAGGCCAACTCACAGAGCTATATCAATCCCCCCAAACCACAAAGGTGGAGGGTGGGACCAGATATGTTATTAAGGGAAATTTGGGTACTCTTTTACACAGAGGGTGAACAGATGCTAAATGGCCCAACTATGCACACATGTAGCCATCCACTGCAACAGTGCATAGTAGTTGGTTAATAAATCTGTTTTCATTTACCAATCAATTTACCAGCAAAATGAATAAAAACTAAGTAGGCTACCTGCAAGAAAAGGTAATAAAATATGTAAAAATGAATTAAACACTGTAATCTGCCTTATGTGGATTCAATGGCTTTGTCTGTGATTCCTTGAACCCACTCTCATTGGATCATTTAACCCTATTAGTATATACACCACAACCTCAGAAGGCAACTACAAGAGCCAGATGCCTGGATAGCCATACAGAAAAAATGTAAAATTTGATCCGTTCCTCACATCATATACCAATAATGATCCAAATGGATCATTAATCTAAATATAAAAAAATGAAATGATAAAAGTATTAGAAGAAAGGATGGGTATTCAATCCATGTTGTTCAAGGTTTAAAAACCAACAACAAAAAGAAAGGATAGGTAAATTTCACCGTGAGAAAACGTAAATAAATTTAATTACATATATATATGTAATATAGGGAAAGATACCATACACAAAGTAGAAAAAGAAAATAATGGAGAAAACAATTGCAACCAATTTCATAGAGAATGGGTCATTGTCACAAATATTAAAGGACTTTTAAAAATAAAGAGGCCAAGCACAGTGGCTCACTCCTGTAATACCAGCACTTTGGAAGGTCGAGGCAGGCAGATCACTTGAGGTCAGGAGTTTGAGACGAGCCTGACCAACATGGTGAAACACTGTCCCTACTAAAAATACAAAAATTAGCCAGCGTGGTGGTGTGCACCTGTAATCCCAGCTACTCAGGAGGCTGAAGCAGGAGAATCGCTTGAACCCGGGAGGCTGAGGTTGCAGTGAGCTGAGATTGCACCACTGCACTCCAGCCTGGGTGACAGAGTGAGACTCTGTCTCAAAAGAAAAAGAAAAGAAAATAACCAATAACCCTATAGAAAAAAATGGGCTAGCAAAATGAACAATTGCTCTCAATTTTATGAAAAAAATGTTCAATCTTGCTCATAATAGAAGAAACGAAAAATTGAAATTACACTAAGATGGCCAGGCACAGTGGTTCACACCTGTAATCCCAGACCTTGGGAGGCCAAGGCAGGCGGATCACGAGGTCAGGAACTCGAGACCATCCTGACCAACATGGTGAAACCCCGTTTCTACTAAAACTACAAAAAAAAATCAGCCAGACATGGTGGCAGGCGCCTGTAATCTCAGCTACTCAGGAGGCTGAGGCAGGAGAATGGCATGAACCTGGGAGGTAGAGGGTGCAGTGAGCCGAGATCCTGTCACTGCACTCCTGCCTGGGTGACAGTGCGAGATGCGAGACTCTATCTCAAAAAAAAAAAAAAAAAGTACACTAAGATAACTTTTAGATTGTCAAAAATCCAAAAGTTTGACAATATACTCTTTTGGCTACAGGGAGATTAGCCCTTTCATATGTTGCTGGAGGAAATACAAAATGGTATAACCATTAAAGGAATTTGGCAATGTGTAGCAAAATTATATATGCATTTAACCATTGATCCAGAATTTATCTGGGCATTTATCCCACAGATACTGTGTATTAAAAAACAGAAAAACATAGGCACAGGTTTGTAATAGCAAAAGACAGGAAATAACCCAAATATCCATTGGTAAGCAACTGTTAAATCAACTAAGCAGTAGAATACCATGCAACTAAATAAAGAAATAGAGAAATGAGGGCTGTCTTCATTCCTAGGTGAAGAGAGCGAGATGGAGAAAAATGTGTGCCAGTTGTTTCCACTTATCCACGAAAAGAGGGGTAAAAAAAATATAGATACTGGCCAGGCGCGGTGGCTCATGCCTGTAATCCCAGCACTTTGGGAGGCTGAGGCGGGCAGATCACGAGGTCAGGAGATCGAGACCATCCTGGCTAACACGGTGAAACCCTATCTCTATTAAAAATACAAAAAATTAGCCAGGCGTGGTGGCGGGCGCCTATAGCCCCAGCTACTCGGGAGGCTGAGGCAGAAGAATGGCGTCAACTCGGGAGGTGGAGCTTGCAGTGAGCCGAGGTCGCGCCACTGCACTCCAGCCTGGGCAACAGAGCAAGACTCTGTCACAAAGAAAAGATACAGATATCTTACATTTCATAAAACAGATAATAAAATAATAAACCATAAACTAAATTGAAGGAGATGGAGGAACTAAGGTAGAAGAGATACCAAGATAGAAGCTAATATTTTAATAAATGCATTAATACTTTATTTTGTAGATTTCACTCTGGAATCATTAAATATAGGATTTTTTTTTTAAGAAACAAGCTTGGGGCCAAGTGCAGGGGCTCACACTTATAATCCCAGCACTTTGGGAGGCCAAGGTGGGAAGATTGAGCCCAGGAGTTCAAGACAAGCCTGAGCAACATACTGAGACCCCATCTCTACAAAAATTTTAAAAATTAGCCAGGTGCGGTGGTACTCACCTGTGGTACCAGCTACACAGGAGGCTGAGGTAGGAGGATCGCTTGAGCCCAGGAGGTCGAGGCTGCAGTTAGTCCTGTTCATGCCATTCTACTGTAGCCTGAGCAATAGAGCAAGACCTTGTCTAAAAAAAAAAACAATAAAAAATAAAATAAAATAAAATAAAAAGGCTGGGCATGGTGGCTCATGCCTGTAATCCCAGCACTTTGGGAGGCCGAGGCGGGCGGATCACGAGGTCAGGAGATCGAGACCATCCTGGCTAACATGGTGAAACCTCGTCTCTACTAAAAATACAAAAAAAAATTAGCCGGGCGTGGTGGCGGGCACCTGTAGTCCCAGCTACTCAGGAGGCTGAGGCAGGAGAATGGCGTGAACCCGGGAGGCGGAGCTTGCAATGAGCTGAGATGTGCCACTGCACTCCAGCCTGGGTGACAAAGCGAGACTCCGTCTCAAAAAATAAAATAAAATAAAATAAAAAGCAAGCTCTGAAATTAAAAATAAAATAAAACAAACTTAACTGTAATTTTCTTGGTGACTAGAGAAGCAGTACTCCAAGTGACTTGAAAGTACAAAATTCAACTGTACATCCCCAGTGCAGTCTAGCTCAAAGAAGAGAAGACATGGGGAAACTTTTAAGTGTTTTCAATGATCATATCATTGAAGATAATGCTGGTATTGTCATTCTGGAACTGCTGAGTATGTACTGTGGGATAAAGCAAATGCCTATATGTGTTCTATCATCCTTAGTGTACTTAAGATTGAAATTCTTGACACGAGACAAAGGGGACACAGGTGTGAGATAGAAGAGGTTAAGTAAGAACTTCATAGTCTTGAGATTGAATTAGAAATATCAGATTGTATAGTTAGTTATGTAGCAATTGTGGACCAATCCCATCTGTCTTTTACAATTGAAGGGATTCATCTTCCCCTACCGCTCACTCCCCCATCTACCCAATGAATCACCAAAGCGCTACAGCTCTAATTCAGAACTCCTCCCAGTTCTGACGCTGCTCTCCAGCCTGACTGCCACTGCCTCGATGCTGGCCCACCAGCCCTGATCCGCATATTTTTTGTTTTTTGTTTTTTTTTCAGACGAAGTCTCACTCTGTTGCCCAAGCTGGAGTGAGGTGGTGCAATCTTGGCCCACTGCAACCTCTACCTCCCGGGTTCAAGCGATTCTCCTCCCTCAGCCTCCCAAGTAGCTGGGATTACAGGCACGTGCCACCATATCTAGCTAATTTTTTTTTTTTTTTTTGTATTTTTAATAGAGACGGGGTTTCACTATCTTGGCCAGGCTGGTCTTGAACTCCCGGCCTCATGATTCGCCTGCCTCGGCCTCCCAAAGTGCTGGGATTACAGGCATGAGCCACTACACCCGGCCCTGACCTGCACTTTTAACAGTGTCTTTGCTAGCATTGACACCTCCTTCTCTCCCCAACTCAGTCTCCACCATCACCAGGAATATGTTTCCCCACCAAATGCTGACTAAGCCATACTCCTACTGCATCAAGCAGGATTCCAGAGAGAAATGAAACACCCAAAGGGGTTTTCTAAAGAGAGCTGAAATCAGGGATGATTTCCAATGTTGGGGGTAGAAGTGGTGAAGCCCCCAAGGACCAGCCACAGCTGAAGCCTTTACCACCTAGGCCTGCCTGGTATCTATCACCAGAGTCAATGCGACCTGGAGCCAGGGGACGGGGAGACCGCCAGGAGCTGTGGCCACAGAGGAAAGCAGCTGCTGTCAGAAAGGGGACAAGGCAGGGGAGATAGACATCCCTGCCTCTTTCTCTTCCTGCCCTCCAACCAGTGCGCAAGGGAGCCTGGCTGGAGCAGTCTGTGAGATGTCAGAGGAGGATAGAGAATGGATGGGCCAGGGGAGACAGGGGCAAACTAAACAGCCAGCACACCCGCTTATGGCCACTATTCACTCCCCACGCTCTCAGGAGCAAGCCCAAGTCCTCCAGATGGCATCCCAGGCAGCCATGAGGCGACACACTCTCTCCCTATGACCTTGGTTCCTGCTAGTGGCCCCCCACCACCCCCACGCCCAAGTGACAGTTACTCCAGACCTGCATGGCCCACTCACAGCTTCTCACCTTGCCAGACCCTACTCCCTCTGCTTGTATCACACCTTCCCTATTCCACCCTCTCCCCTTCTTCACATGTCAAACTCCTATTCATCCTTCAAGGCTTTTTTCTGATGGCACCTCCTTCATGCAGCCTTCACCAAGTCCTGCACTTAGAGTATCTCCTCTGTTCCCACAACAGTCTACACAGGCCTCATCGGAGCAGCCTTGGCCTTATTCTAAGGCTGTTCACTTGTCTGTCTCCCTGTCCAGACCACAAGTTCCTTGAGGTCTGAGACTGGGTCTATTCATCTCTCCATCCTCGGCCCAATGGTACTGGACACATAGTCAGCCCATAAATATTTATTGAATCAATCAATGAATAAAAGAGAAGACTTTTGTGTCTTTGTTTCCAATTTCTTTTTTTCCCCCACTCCCACAATGGAGAAGCGTCATGGGGCAGGACTAAAGAGAAAGAGGAATGTGTGCCCCATATTCATGCCATACTCTCCTCTCCCCATCCAGTTCCAGGCTCTGCCTTATATAACAAGGGAGCCTTTCTCCTTGGCCTTTCTATTGCTGGACAGGTACCAGGTTGGACTCAGTGGACCTGAGGGAAAGGCTTTATCCCCCAGAATGCCTGCCCTGACCCCACAGAACCAGGGTTGCCTAAGGCAGCCCTAGCCAGCCTTTCTGCAGGGGGAGCCGTCTCACCCAGGAGAGACCACACTGCTCATCCTGGTCAGAGACAGGTCAGAGGCTGCAACTGCCCCTGGCTATTCTAAGAACAGACAATTTGTCAAAATGTCTCTGAGCAGGCCCCAGGGCCAGCCACTCCTTCCTCCTCCTTCCTTCCCCATCCATTCATTTACCCGTAGGTATGGAGTGCTCCCAAGGGCCCAGGACTGGCTTCCTGGACTTCCAGTCCAGCAGGGGAGACATACTGAGCAAGTAATAACTAGTGTGACGAAGCAGGAGGGAAGACAGAAGGAAAAGGAGGCCAGGGAGGGAAGGAGCAACCAAGAACAAACGAAGGAAAGAAGCCAAAAGCAGAAGAGGCGTCACAGGCCAGCCCCTCCCTACTCTTCCCTGCATTCCAGAAACCAGAAGGCCTGGAGAGGAGGCATCAATGAGCCACAGACAAGCATTGTATTCATTTTCTGGGGCTGCAGTAACAGAATGCCACAGACTAGGGGGCTTACACAACAGACACGTACTGTCTCACAGCTCTGGAAGCCAGAAGCCAGAGGCTGCTTCTGAGCACTGTGAGGGGGTCTGTCCCATGCCTCTCCACTGGGTCTGGGGGTTTGCTGCAGGCTTTGGCATTCCTGGCTGTGGATGGCATTCTCCCTATGTCTTCAATCAGCTTCCCTTTGTACGTGTCCCTCTACACATGGCATACACGTGGGTGTTAAAAGTCACCCTTTTTAAGTATTCAGTTCAGTGGCATTAAGTGCATCCACAATGTTGTACCGCCATCCATCTCCAGAACTTTCTCATCGTCCCAAACGGAAACTCCACATCCATTCAGCACTGACTCTCCATACGCTGTTCCCCAGCCCCTGGTCACATCTATTCTACCGTCTGTTTATGAAGTTCACTATTCTAGGCAGCTCCTCCATGGAATCACACAGTTTGTCCTGATGTGACTGGCCTTTTTTTTTTTTTTTTTTTTTGAGATGCTCTGTCACCCAGGCTGGAGTGCAATGGCACGATCTCGGCTCACTGCAACCTCTGCCTCCTAGGTTCAAGCGATTCTCCTCCCTCAGCCTCCCGAGTAGCTGGGATTACAGGCACCTGCCACCACATTTGGCTAATATTTTGTATTTTTAGTAAAGACGGGATTTCACCATGTTAGCCAGGATAGTCTTGATCTCCTGACCTCGTGATCTGCCCGCCTCAGCCTCCCAAAGTGCTGGGATTACAGACATGAGCCACCACGCCTGGCCATGACTGGCTTATTTCACTGAGCACGATGCCTTCCATTTTCATCCATGTTCACATGGCACTATTTTATAAAGGATCCCAATCATAGAGGGATAGGGGCCCACCCTCCCCTAGTCCAACCTCATTTTAATTTAACTAATTCCCTCTGCAGCAACCCTATTACCAACTAAGTTCACATTTTGAGGCACTGGGGATGAGGACCTCAACTTAGGAACCTGGGGGGATACAACACAACAGGTGTGCCGTGACCGAGACAGAGATGGGAGGAACAGAAAAAGACACCCTGACAGGCAGCATAGGAGGGGTGATGGGCAAGTTCTTGTTTTGTTGACCCTTAACTCCTCTGTACTCCTGACAGGAGCCACGTCCCTGGCGCACTTCCCCAGCCCAGCTGACTCATTGGACAGGAAGAGGAAGGGCAGGAATTCAGGCCGATAAGCCAGAGACCCTCACCTCTGGCCGGGCCTGGCACAACCTCCTGGGAAGCCCCCGCACACCAGCCTTCCCAGAACCACTCGGTGTGTCCTGCCTGGCTGATGGGCAGTCATGTATGCCCCACCCTTCCCTGACCGTGCCCACTTATCCAGGGGCCCAGCTGTCTCGGCTGGGAGGCGTCTATTGCAAGTCACTCCTCCGTCCACACAGACAGATCACTCACGTCCCTCATTCCGTCCCTCGTTCCACAGTGAGTGTTGACACCCACTACGGGGCAGGCCTGGCTGCAGGCCTGGAGATACAACAGCAGCAAAAGGAGCAGCCCCTGCCCCAGGAGGCTCACATTCAAGTGAAGGTGGCAGACGAAAGCCCACAGCAATCGAGTGCACACTGTCAGATGGCGATGAGGGCCAAGGAGGCCCGGCAGCAGGGGAGGGGACACGGAAGGCCCCGCTGGGCTAGGCTGCATGAGCCCAGCTAATTTTGGAAATTTTAGTAGAGATGGAGTTTCACCGTGTTAACCAGGATGGTCTCGATCTCCTGACCTCGTGATCCGCCTGCCTTGGCCTCCCAAAGTGCTGGGATTACAGGCGTGAGCCACCGCGCCCGGCCATGAAGAGGCACTGGTTTTTAGGCTTTAATGAGTTTGGGTTTTCCCCCCAAGAAATTGGGGGTAAAAGATAATAAAAGCAAAACATCCCATGCCCTCAAGGAATGTCTAGTCCAGGATTAGAGGTGGGGCAGTCCCAGGAAGGAGCCATCATGACAGTGAATTCACGCGGAAGACGGCGCGCCCGGCTGGCCCGGAGAGACAGAGGTGCTGTGCAGGGCGTGGGGAAGCAGCGGGTCTCAATCGAGAAACCTGGTTTTCTGTCTGTGTTGGTTGAGACTCTTTTTTCCAGGAGGAGTCGCTTGTTTGCTTGTTCACCTTAAGTTTAAATTGAGAGGGGTTAAGGGCTTTTGCCTCGGAAGGCAGGCTGGCCTGGCGTGGTGTGTGGTGTGAGGTGCGGAAACGCATCGTCCCCAGCTGGCCTCACAGGCCGAGCAGCAGACAATGGCTTCCTTCTGCCGGCTTCCCCACAGCCTGGTCTTCCTGGGACCGTTCCTCTGCTGAAGAAAGGGACTGGGGATGGGTACAGGGGATGGAGGAGGAGTTGGGGAGGCCTTTCGGAGGGTGTTTGTTTGTGGCAGAGACGTGTGTACAGCTGGCACACGGTCCCGGGTGGCTACGGGGAGACATGTGAGCGGGGCTCATGCAGTTGTTGTGAGTGAGCGCGCTCTGGCAGCTCTGAGGATTAGCGAAAACAACGTGCAGATCCAGACATGTTTATGTAGGGAGGGGTGCAGTGTGCTGGACCAGGTCCAGAACTAAAAATAACGCAGGATTTCTGTGCCCAGCAAGAGCGCTAGCAACCGTGGGGCTTGTGTGGTGTGTGGTGGGAAGACTGTGGTTTCAGCTGAACCAGGCACGGTGCAACCAGGACAGCAGGAGGGAAGGCCAGGCCTGGGTGGGAGGCCCCAGGAGGGACGGGGAAGGACTGAGGTCGAAGGCCATCCCATCCGGCAGCCGAAGAAAGCCTCCAGGCGGCCATGGGCGGCCCACCACGTGAGGCCGGATCTGGGTCCTCCTGCATGTCTGAAACAGCACAGAGCAGTGGGGCAGCCTCCAAACCTCCCCGGCAAGGAGGAGTTAAGGGATCCAGAGGGCGTGGCCTGGAACTGAGAGAAGGGAAGCAACAGGTATGGGGCATTCGGGAGTGCGGGATGCCTTCCCCAGGCGCCCATGGTGATCCGGACAGGTAGGCGTTTTCCTTCCCTTTTTGCAGATTGTGAAAACAGCGTTCAAAAAAGACTCATAGGCCGGATGCAGTGGCTCACGCTTGTAATCCCAGCACTTTGAGAGGCCAAGGCAGGCAAATCATGAGGTCAGGAGTTCGAGACCAACCTGGCCAACATGATGAAACCCTGTCTGTACTAAAAATACAAAACTTAGCCAGGCGTGGTGGTGGGCACCTGTAAACTGAGCTACTCAGGAGGCTGAGGCAGGAGAATCACTTGAAACCGGAAGGCAGAGGTTGCAGTGAGCCGAGATTGTGCCACTGCACTCCAGCCTGGTCAACAAGAGTAAAACTCTGTCTCAAAAAGAAAACTCACTTAGCCCTGGGGCCACCCAGCCATAAAGAGGCAGGGCTGGGACAGGTCCCTGCAAGTCTCCTCTGGAAGGCGAAAGGGCTGCTACTAGGAAGGGGTGGCAGACACATCTCATGTGGCTTCAGAGGGCAGGACATGGACAAGGGTTATGGGAAGGGAGGGAAATTTTCCAATAACCAGACTGCACAACAGTGGAGTGGCTCGTCTCAGGAAGGGTAAGCTCATGCAAAAGCTGGCTGTTGGGGACATTGGGAGGGACTCTGAAGGTCCCCACCACTCTGAATCTATGCTGTGTGGGAGGATGCAGGTCCACTGGGCCCAGGACGTTTTTTTAGCGTGGGAAGCAAGGAACCTCAACTTTGGAAAGAGTGAGGGCACAGTGACGTCCAGTCACTCCCAGAAGCTGTCTGTTAATAGAGCAACCCCTCGGATGGTGTGCAATCCTAATGACCAGGCCCAGGACACCGGAAACAGGGTCCCTGCCCTCACACTGCTGAGCACAGTCTAGGAGACAGGGCTGCACACAGACGGAACCAAGCACACAAGACAAGAGAGGGTGTGTGCCACAGAAAGCAAGGGTTCATTTATGTGCTGCGTTTTTGGTCTGCGAGGAGTCAGAAGAGAGGACAGCGAGGCCAGGAGAACTCAGGGAACACTGCTTGTTGTAATCATCACAATTGTGTTAATCATATTACCAGCTGTTCTTTCGTGACCATCCCCTATGTGCCAGGCTGTGTTTTGTATGCACTGTATGATTTAATCCTAGAACAATACTATGAAGCAGGAGCTCTTATTATTCCCCTTTTACAGATGAGGAGGCAGCTCAGAGAGGTGATGTAACTTGCCCAAAATTCTACAACTAGTATGTGGCAGAGCCTGGACTCAAGCCCAGATGTGTTGGACTCCAGACCTCGCGTAGAACCAGAAGGAACTAATGCTGCGGCAATGTCTGCACTGATAGGGAGATCTCTCCGAGATATCATGCCGTTGTTTTCTGTTGTTGCTATAGCATATTATCACAAGTTGCACACATATTTATTGCACTACACTTCTGGAGGTCAGCAGTCTGACACGTGGGTCTCACTGGGCTAAAATCTCAGCGTGGGCAGGGCTGGGTTCCCCTCTGGAGGCTGCAGGGCAGAATCCCTTTCCTTGCCTTTCCCATCTTCTAGAGGCTGCCTGCGTTCCTTGGCTCCTGGCCCCTCCTCTGTCTGCAAAGCTACCACTGTCATGTCTCTGTAACCCTTTGTCACGGCTCCCTCTGACCACAGCCAGGAAAGATTCTCCGACTTTAAGGATCCATAGGATTAGATTGAGCCCACTTGGATAATTCAGGATACTCTCCCCATCTCAAAGTCCTTAATCTTAATCACATCTGCAAAGTTCTTTTTGCCAAGTAAGGTAACATGCACACCTTGCAGGGATGAGGGCGTGGTCACTTTTGTGGGGGCCATTATTCTGCCAACCACATATAAAAAGGAGAGAAAAGAAGCTGGGCGTGGTGGCTCATGCCTGTAATCCCAGCACTTTGGGAGGCTGAGGCAGGCGGATCACAAGGTCAGGAGATCAAGACTATCCTGGCTAACACAGTGAAACCCCGTCTCTACTAAAAAAAAAAAAAAAAAAAAAAAAAAAAAAAAAAAAAAGGAAGAGAAAAGAGCAAGGTGCAAACCAGTAGCAAGGTGCTTCTTCTGGTGTTAAAAAAAATTTTTAAGTGGGGAGAATAATAATACACACTACTATTTGTTTGTATTTGCATAAAGAAGTATGCATTAAAGAACCAGCATTGGTTATTGGAGAAGAGCTAGACTGACAGGGACAAGACTGGATGGAGATTTTTGTTGTCATTATGGAAGTGCTCAAATACACACAAAAGTAGAGAACAGGATAATGAACCCCATATACTTATCGCCCAGCATCAATGGTTTTACATTCTTATTGCATTTTATCTCTCCACTTCTGGGGAAAAGGACTGAAAAATTTAAAGCAAATCCCAGACATCATATCATTCTACCCATAAAAACTGCAGTGTGTGTCTCTAAGAGATAGGGTTTTCTCAAAAACATAACCACAATGCCATCATCACACATAAGAAAGTTAAC